ACTGCTGGATGGTACATCTAATTAGATAGAACTCACATTATTTCATAAAAAGAATTGATAAAGGCATTCATCACCCAGTCTCGGTATATTATAGACTTGACTTCAGACTACCTCTCTTTGTAAAGTATGAAAAAAAGATAGTTGAATCTTTCAAACAATATTCCCATAGAAGGAGAGATATGGCTATTCAATTCCAGCCATCTCTTATTGAAAAAGAAACCATCATCTAATTTGTCAATACCCTGAAGGCTCTATACTATGAAAAGATGATAAGAAATGCCACCAAGAACTTTGTTGATATGGTGATCTTATGAGAGGTTATTAAAAATACTATCAAAAGTGGCAAGCTTCAAGCATGAGAAATCACCAAGAAAAGAGGGTTACCTTAAAAGAAAGAAACTGAAGCCCAAATTATGAATTTTGATAGCCAACAGTTTAAAAGCTATGTTCCATATCTACCACCTATTCATCTTGCTTACTACCCCATAGTTAATGGTATTGTGCAGGCCTTTTACCAGTCTATTCCATAACCGGATTATCCTTCAACCTATCTATCAACCTTTTAGATACCTGCATCTGGGTCTAGTCATATCAATACATTAGTGTCTAGGTGTAATAACCAAGCGAGTGATTTGAGAAGATCTTGGAACAACTAATAAAGGGTCCACATTGATCTTATCCTTATGACTTATACTAAATTATTCTTAAAACTGACTAAAAATGACTTCATGTCTTCAATTATTCTAAAACCATTGAAACCACTCTATCTTAAATGGTATGATGCTAATACCACATGTGATTATCATAATAGGAATATGGGTCATTCTATTAAAATTTGTCCTACTTTCAAACACAAGGTGTAAAGTTTGATCTAAAAAGGCTTAGTGAGCTTTGATGAATTGAGGGGTCAAATATTAATAAAAACCATTTGCTTAAGCACACAAGGGCATAATTTTAAGAAGGACAAGGATGTTAAGGCTGGTTGAAAGTTGCTTATCAGAGTAATGTTAGGAATTTTTTTTATAGAATAAGATTTCATTTTTTATCATTTTAATAAAAGGCAAGTTGACACATTTCATTACATTTTTTCTTTCATCCAAGCCATTATTCTATTCTTTGTTATTTCTTATACATTTTTATTCCCATTCTCAAATTTCAAATGATGAATATTTAGACAATGATAACAATAATTTTGAGATTTAATTTTGAAAAATCATTAACATTGATAAAGTTTAATTTGTGAAGACTATTTGAACAAAAGAAGCAAGCTACTAGCAGATATGAAATAGATATGTCTAGAAGATATCCAGTCTTTTATAATGATCCATGAGTTTGTCTTTGTTTAATAAATGGTTTTCAAAGAAAGCATTCACATTTGAGATGAAAAATGGTTGTCTTTCTTTTATCGATCATAAAACCATCTATTGCTATCCTTTTTAAGCCAATTATGATTTTTTTAAAAATCTCAACCAAAGATCACCTTCTATATTAGGGAACAAATTTTGGGAAGAGCATATTTGAAAAAGAAAAGGTAAAAAATTGTAAAATATCTCAAAGATAGAGAGTGAAAAAAAAAGAAAGAAGAACCCAAGAAAAAAAATGAATGCTACAAATGATTTGGGCAAAGTAATGAGAATCTTTTTGTGAGAAATAAGATGAATGGAAAAAGAAAGAAAAGTAGTGAAACGATGTAGAATAGGGCAAAGTGCCAAGTTACATCATATTATGGGAAATGATCATTTGGTTTGAACCCTTTAAATATATGTTTTGAGCCTATTTTATTCATTTCTTTTATGACCCTTCACCATAGCCTACATTACAACCCTTAAAAGTCTATTTTGATTAAATGTGAATGCTTGAATTGAATGATCATGTAATGGACTAAGGCATGCTTGTGATGGAGCAATGAAATCATGTTACGTTCTCCAGATTGATGTATTGAAGATATCAATAATGGATGAAGTAAAAACATGAAAAAAATGAAGTAAAAAAAATGAAAAAGTGAAAAAGTGAAACAGTGAAAAAAATAAAAAATATGAAAAAAGAAAAATGAGAGAAAATGAATACCTAAATGTGATTTGGGTAAAAAAAATCTAAGATGAGAGTTAGATGAGCAGTTTAATATATTTAAAATTAATGTCATCCAAAGATCTTTCGAAGCGAGGGTAAAGTTTGATGAGCACATAATGATTTTGAAAGTCAATGGAATGAGTTTTTAAAAATGAATTCTAGATTAATGTTAAAAATTTTTTGAATATTCGTTGTTTAGATATTGTTATACCATTCATATACTTATCTCAATGACATATTTTGATTACCTTTGCCTATCTTGTTTTGTACTAGACTCATTATTTTATTGATTACCTTTTCTTAATTCACCTTGTACTTTCTTATTTTTTGCATTCCTAAAATAAATCAAGAAAATATATGATTGCACTATATTTGTCAATAATTGAAATGATAATGAATGAATAATAATATTTATAAAAGATTTCTACATTCTTTTGAAAAAAAATCTAGGGGATAAAAAAATGAAAAGATGGATGAAGCCTGAAAATATGATTTGAAAGGACACATGGTCTAACCAAGCAATGAATATGGTGATGGATTAGTCGACATAACTTATGAGTTATGATCAAATGATAAAAATAATATGGATCAGTGGACAAAATTTATTCTAAAATTGTTAGTGCCAAGAATCTGAAAAGAAAAAATATAAGATGGTGGAGTCTTGATAACCACATTACTATAATTAATTAGAATTTCATGACATTGACATCCATATTACATGTATTGCATTTGCATTGTTGTTTACACAATAGATGTATATAATTTGGAGAATATTTAAAACTTTGGTTTGGCCATGTATTTGCATCATGTAGTGAACATTTATCTTTAGATTCAACCATGAATTATTTATGAGAATCTAGAATGTTGATATTTGATCATTATCATGACATTCTTTATATATAAATTTTAAATGTTATGAATGCAATTGAGAATTTCATATAAGAAATTTTAACTTTTTGAGAAACTTTTGAAGTTAAGGTTGAATCCTTTGAACGGAAAACATGTTTATGAGAAAATGAAATTATAAGTTGTGGAGCCTTTATGATAATTTATTATTTAATGTTAAAAAGACATGAGAATTGTCTTTAAGTTTTATGAAATCTTAAGAACTTTCAATGAGAAATTAGTGAATTTTGAATGAGATCATTTATTTTAACTGAAAATCTTTAAAAAAGTTTTAATTGAGAATCTTGAATTTTTAAATGGGATGTTAGAATTCGTTGAATCTCTAAAGTTTTT